CTTTTTTTTTTCCCCCCCCCCCCCCCGGCCCAGTTTAAGCTGTTATTAACGTGTCTTAACGCGTTTTTCCGAGCCACATTTAAACGCAACATGAGCGTTAAAATGCCCGCGCTTGCACCGAGTCTGATTCAAACAAATTAACACCTGTTGTTTCATTCTGGGTCCAATGAATCCAAGTTTTTTTTTTTTTTTTAAATAACAAACAAATGTTAATACTTTATTATGGAGTATGATTTTGATTTGTTACTGTTTGTGGTCAAGTTTGGTCAAAATTAGGTAACTTTTGAAAATGAATAATTACTATTTAATGCCAACATATTTAGCAAAACTGCTAGTTTGACAAGTTTAATCAGAGTCTAAACGTATTTAGTTGTACATCAATACTGCTGTTTTAAGAAGTCACTAAAACAGTAAATAACTGAGTGAAATCTTAACGCTCCCATTTATTTCTCTCTTTCCAGCTGCTGCGAGTTTCTCACTGGCGCCCCCTGCTGCATCCTTTAACAATAAGAACTGCAGAAGGCTGCAGAAAGCGTCAAAACTAAAATTTGGATGTTTTTGTCCAGTTTTTGCTTCCTGCTTTAATACTACCTTGCACTTATGTTCAACAGTCTCTGTATTGAAAGAGTGTATCATTTTGCTTAGAAGAGACTCATTTTATACCCATGTACAGGTTTGCAATTGTATTTTATGCCATTATTAAATTAGGATAGCATTCTCAGAGACTGAGGATATGAAACACTGGACCTTCTGAGTCGTTTGATTTTTACCTGCACCGTAAAGAAGCTGCTTTTAAGCAGCTGTTGAGTAAATTTAGTGACAGAAGTGAAGTCAGCTCAGAGAACCAGGATAATCCTGTTTTTATTTTAAAGAAAAAACAACTTTGTGACATTTATGTTCTAGCCAAAAACTTTATTGCACTTATGGTGAAAGAAATTATATCATAGTTCGACCTTATGCGGCTTTAAAAAAATGCAGCTATGTTTTTATCATTTATTTTTATCAAAAAACTGTAACATCTGTTTTATAGTGTTTAATTGTTAAAGTGATTTCCTTAAAGAAAAAAAATAAAATACATGGAAACTCCCAAGATCTTTTATTTTATTCATGTATTATTTAATGCATTTTAATGCGAAACCATGTTTGCATTAAAATGTAGGTTATTCAGCAAATAAAAACGCAGAACATGGAATCAGGCTCAAAGGGCAAATAACAAGGCAGCTGATATGTTAATGATTTTCTTATCTATAACATAAACCAACACAGGAGAGAAGTGAACAGCAGGAGTGAAATAAAAGAACAAAACCAGCATGAAAAAGGTATTTGGAAGAAATTGTTTTCTGGGTGTTTTTAATGGAATCTCATGAGGTTTAAAAACACTTAAAAAGTACTGATGAAAACAGATGAAAGGAAGATTTCTCCTGTTTGTAAAATGTACAGAAAAAGGCTTGAGGAGGTTAAATGGCATCAAAACATTAAGGTTCCTTAAACAAGGAAAAGGTTCCTTAAACAAGGTTCCTGCATATTTTTCATGTAGAAAAATAATCCAAGCTTGACTTTGAACAGTTAATCTGCGCTTCCTGTTAAACTCAAAACATAAAAAAGTATCAATGTTCACCTTGGACTTTTGGCAGATTCTCTACATTTGGCGGATATGGGAGCCAAGAACAATAGGTTGGAAGGAAGGGAATAAGAAAAAGTAATGAAAGAAATGAGAAAAAAAGTGGATTTGTGACAAGGATAGAATATCAGAAAGAAGGAAAGACAAAAAGAACAAGAAAGGTAAAAGAAAAGTTAGACAGAAAGACGAGGGAGAGAGAAGGAGGCATGGATGAGGAAAGGAAAACACTTCAACAAGGCATAGGTTTTAAAAACCGTAAGAAACAGAAATATTCATCTGTACTCATATTCTTTTTTGTATGGAGACATGGAAAAATCATTAAATCAAATTCCAGGTTTCCACAGACTAGGAACTCTGTTTAAATAAAAACACAATCATCTCAATACATGTTAGGCAACCTATATCAATCAATATGACACTTTATGATCACCATTTTCACAACGCCTTAATGTTAGCTTGAAAACAGGAGTTAATTCATTAAAGTAAACTGCACCGTCTAACAGAGCCTTCCTCACACTCGTGTGTCTTCTGGCGGAAAGTTGTGCAGACGCCATGTTGTTGAGGTAGGAGAGAAACGACCAGCTGGAGTGTTTCACAGCTTCAGGACTTCACTGCACGCCTTTTCCTCCGTCACATGTTCAGTAAAACACTTCAGAAACCAAGTTATAAAATCTAAAAACACCGACCATCCAGATAAGGATACATGTAAATGCTGCATCACAGCCGGCTTATGGGCAGTGCAGCTGAGGGAGTGTGGCAGTTTGATGGAGCAGCTCAGTTGTCGAACTCCTTCATCATCAGCTTCCTGCTGACCTCGTAACCCAGGAACAGCGCTCCGTTAGCGGGGAAGCAGCGCACGATGGTGGGGGTGAGGCCGGAGTACAGCGCCCTCATGCCTAAACACACCGAACAAGATCGGAAACGGATCAGAAAGCAAAACGCCACACGTCTGTAGTTCCTCCCTTTCCTGCCGGTGCCTACCTTCGGAGCGAGCGATGGTCATGAAGGTTTTGAAAAACCCCGCCTGCTTCCCCGTCATGGACATGACCTGAATCCGAGATTTGACACAGTCCATGGGGTAGACCACCAACCAAAGGCTCGCGCCCCCGATGCCGCCGCTGAGTGCGATCGGAGCCACACCTTCAGCACATACAGCAAACACAAAGTTACCGCATCGGAATCGGACAGAAATGGAGTCACCGTTCCGCTCCCAGTACCTATATCATCTTTTTCACATTCCATGTAGTCTGCGAATCCAGTCCTGCAGAGTTCGTAGGCGCCAAAGAAGCAGAAGTACCCGGGAACCTCTCTGGCTATGGTGGTGGTCAGTCCCTGGAAGAAGCCCTGCGGACCCTCGTTCCTCATAATGGACTTCACCACCGACCACACCGAGCTTCAGACACACCACACACATTTTCACTCTGACATTAGCCGAGCTCATGTACACACACGTTGTAGTCGATCTACAGGCGTGTTCAACAATCATCGGCCACTCAGTCGTGCCGTTCATGCAGCCGGTTGTGTGCATGTGAAGCCAAACTATCTGCAAGTCCTGCTGTTAGAAAATAACAATCTGAAGGCGTCACAGTTCACCAAAGGAAACATTGGCTGCATTTCTATTGACAATATAATGGCAAAAATTAAACTTTCGTAAATTTTTCATTACAAAAATGAATTCCCTTAAAAAAAAAATCTTGTTTATCCGATAAAAAGCTTTTGTGCTAGCATCAGGTGGTTTTTCGGCTACACCGACATTATTGTATTTTGCAAAATTCCAATGGAAACACTTTTTTATCATCAGACAGGTCATGCAATCAATAACCAGAACTTATAGATGGTGGAACGGCTGGAGAAGATGACAGGAAGTGGTAGGAATGCTGGCGTCGTGGCATGTTTTTTAATGACTTGCCACATAAACAAACCGGTAAGTCATTAAATGTGATTTCAATTGCGATTCTTATTAAATGGAAACACCACGATTGCAAATTTGTGTTTTTGCAACATTAGCAAAATATTGTCAAAATTTTACACGCATTTGTAATGAAGATGCAGCTGCAGACTGGGCTAAAGAGAAATTGAGAAACGTTTTATAGACAGATGAACACAAGATTTCTCCTGTTTGTAAAAAGTAAGACCTGCGATTAATTTACCTAAGTCCAATTTACTTCACTTTTAATTGAATTTAAGTCATTTTAAGACCTTGATTTCAGATACATAAATATAAGGCTTTTAAATACTTTTTAAGGATGCGTGGACACCCTGGCATTACATGGCTGCATTGCATTTGTATAAACAGGATTGAACAGGAATGTGTGAAAGTGAATTTGAAGCTAAATTTAAGTCTTGCAACCGATTCCTAATTAGATTTAAATCTGGACTTTGACTAGGCCAGCTCCCCTGTCCCTGCTGAAGAAAAGCATCCTACAGAATGATGCTGCCACCAGAATGTTTTGTTTTTTGCTAGACACAACATTTTGCATGTAGACTAATAAATTCATCAAATAAGATGAGATTCAGCATATTGTTGGGTAGGCCTGTAGCAATACACTAATATTACAATACGATACATGATGTTCTCACGATACAATATATATCAAGATACTCAGTAAACGGTACGATTCTATATATTTTTAAGATTTTCTGAGAGATTTTAGAGTGAGAGTGATTTTGGAGACATTTTGTGTCTGTTCTTAGACTTGCATTAAATTAACTGAATGGTGTAATACTGGTGTAATAAATGCTGTTTTTGGTATCCATTTGCTGTGTTTAAGTGTTAATTGTGTGGCTTTGTGCATTTGGAACTTTTTTTTGTCTCATTCACTTACATTAGATCATGTAATTTATTTCATTTCATTATTTCATAAAATGTAACTGGTTGTTTCGTTACATGTCATTTTTAATGTGTAAGTTGAGTAGGATTTAATGTATTGATACTCACGGATGAAAAACCCGATACTTTATTAGGAAAATAAATATTGATAAATATTGTAGAATCGATAAAATTACACAGAAATTTTTCTAAAACTTAAGTATGTGACCACAAATATAGTCAACTTAAATAACACTGTCAAAAACAAAACATACTTGTTGCTTTTGGCAATCTTTCCAGACATTTCCATCTCATACATGGCTTGTAGTCGACACTTCACCAGCTCAGTGGGGCAGAGGACGAGTGAGGAGAAGATAGAAGCTACAGAACCAGCACAGGCTTTCTGCATGTTGCTGATGAAGAGGGTAGAATAATCAAACCTACACTTAGAAACTGGACATGTTACGCATGCTTCTGTTACTGTTAGAGGCGGCGAACCTCAGCACAGCGTCGTGGTGCAGTCCAGCTGCAAAGCGGATGACCTGCTGGCAGAAGCCGTAGCTCATGAACAGCACAGAGTTCTCTGCAATGTTGGCCATCAGCGCCGGGATAGTGCCCTGGTACAGCCCACGCACGCCATCTTGTTTGTAGGTGGAGAGGATGCAGTGGATGGAACCCCGGTACAGAGAGGGAAAGGTCTGCATCTTTACCTTCGCTGTGTCCAGAGGCTGACCGCTAAAGACACAGGCAGCCCCTCCTGCGACACGGGGGCAAAACCACACACAAACACAAAAGAGCAAGCTACACATTGTGCAAGGAGAGATAAGGATCTGAGAGCGAGGCAGACTGTTGCACTCGGCTGAGCAGAACAACAAGCAGCGAGAAACGAGCCGGAAAAAGTCAGGCGTCATCAGAACGATCATCTGGGGTGTCAGACACATAACCAATGAGCTGACATCTTATTGTCACTTCACTCAGTTCAGCTCCGGTTTTATTTCCACTAAAAACATTTGCTTTAGCAGCTCAATCAATACTAACATTGGAGGAATCCGATAGAAACTAAAATGCCTTTAAGACATGTACGGATTTTATATGAGACCAATAAAAAGTAGTGCCGAAGTAGAAGACAATCAATGCATAGTTCTTTTTTTTTTTTTTTTTTTTTTTTTTTTTAAAAAAAACGGGATTAAACCCCCCAACCCCAAAAAAATTTCCACCTTAAATTCAAAAAAAA